ATATAGTTCATTTTTGGTTTTATTTTATATTACTTTCTGTAACAATATTTTTATTTTTATTTTTATTTTTATTAAAAAATATTTATTTTTTTTCTAAAAAATGATTTATTTAAAATTTTTTTTAAATAATAGTTTTTTTAAAATTATAAATCTATGGTTCTAATTTTTATTTATTTGTGGGTGTTAATGATAATTAATAAATATATCCTTTAAAAAAACAATAACTATGAAAAAGTTGATTACAATTAAAATATTTTTTTTTTAATAAAAAATAAATTTTTTTTTTTTACCTATTTATTATCTTGGGTTATATTTTTTATATATATTATATAAAAAAATTATTATTGCTTTAAATAATGGGTATTATTAAATAAAATTAAAAAAAAAATATTAAAAAAAAAAAAAAAATTTTTTTTGTCATTTTTTTACATATAAAACAAATTTTTTTTTTAGATGTGTACAGAAAGTGAATTAAAGTGAGTTAAATCTCACCACACTATTTTTACTAGCCTATTAGTATTTAAAAAAAGATAATCGTTGAAGGCATATAAATAAAAAAAAATTTCCCATAAAATTTTTTTTTGACTTAAAATGGAGATCTATTTTTTTTACGGATGGGGGTATTTATTATTATCCCCCTACTTTATTAACCTTTTCATTAATATAAGTTTAAAAGCATGGGTTAAAAAAAGTATAAATTCCATATGTTTTTTTATATTTATTTATATTTTTATTTCACTCTTGAGGTTATTTTCTCTAAAACTATGAAAAAAAAAATGGGAAAGGAAATTTCAATTCAATCAAATCAATTAATTCAATATCATAAAATGGAATCAATGAAAGAACATATTCAAAATTTAAATTTAAAATTAAAATTTCTTTTAACAAATAGAAATATAGATGAAATAAGTATTTCTACCATTAAACAATCTATTTTGCGCATAAAGGAAAATATAAAATTTTGCCAAGATATAAATTTATCAAAAAAAAAAAAAAAAGCAACAGAAATTTCAAAACAACCAAATCAATTAATTGAATATCATAAAATGGAGTCAATGAAAGAACATATACAAAATTTAAAATTAAAATTATTATTTCTTTTAACAAATGGAAATATTGATGAAACAAGTATATCTACCATTACACAATCGATTATGTACATGGAAGAAAAAATAAAAATATGCCAAGAAATAAATTTATCAAAATAAAATAAAAAATTTCCCCCTTTTTTTTTCTTTTCATTAAAATTAAATAAAAGGTAGGGGTAATATTTATTACTATTATTTACTAATAAATAATAATATTTTTATTTTTATTGTCATTTATAAATGGGGTGTTATTGATGATCTATATAATAATGCAGCAAATTAACTGAAAAAAAAAAAAATAATTTTAAATTAAAAAAACAACTTGAAAAAAATATCTATAGATATTCAAGGATTTTTTTTTATATATATATAATAACCTTTTTTTATTTTTTGTGTAATTTAAAAAAAATAAAAATAAAATTAAAAATTTTATTATAAAAAAATAGTTCATTTTAAATTTTTAAAAATATAAATATAGATAATTTTTTTAAAATAATCTTTTTTAGAAAAAAAAAAAAAAAAACTGATAAAAATTGATAAAAATAAATCAACCCCATTTTTTTTATTTTTTATAAAGATAAATTTTTTGGTTTTATTAAGACATTATTTAATTTTATTATTACTATTATTTACAAATAAATAACAATATTTTTATTTTTATTTTTATTTTTATTGTTATTTATAAATGGGGTGTTGTTATTATTATTATCTTCTTGAGGTACCAGAATGCGATGATGAGCTGGATGATATTCCAGATGAACGGCTTCCACTTGATGATGATCTATATGATGATGGTGAAGAGTACGTCGAATGATATGATGGTGATGAATAGTAACTTCTATTTGATCTACCTCTTCCCATAAAATAACCTGCAAGACCAGCTACAGCTGCGGTACCCCATCCTGGTCCACCACCATTGTTATTTTGATTAATACCACAACCAGCAGTACCATTATTGTTGTTGTTTAAATTGGGATAATATCTTGTATTGCTATTACCACCATATCTATTATTGTTGGTACCATGTGGGTCGTCATTACCATATGGCCAATTATTATCGCTTGCATTGTTATTGTTTAATTCTGGATGATCGCTTTGGGGTGATCCACAATGATTAACGACTATATATAAAATAAAGCAAATAATGAGGAACCATGCTGCTGTACTAACCCAACCTGTTTCGTCTGAACTATTGCTGGCTCTTCTTGAATAATCGGTATATTCCAATTCATAGAATACACCACAGCTACCAGCAGTAATATATGGGTCATCTGGATATGAAAAACCTTCGCATGATACATCAATTTTACCTAATTTTACAGAAGTATCTAAATTTGCATCACATCTCCATTGAACGTCATTATTGTCATAGTTTGAGCCCATATTGTAACATTGAATCGATGCTGGATATAACTCATACTCTTTTCTTGCGGATCCACCAACACATTCAATTTGTTTAATTGGTGACGATCTTCTTGATTTTGTCATTTCTCCAGCTTTTAATGTTAATGTTTGAACATCTGTTAATAAAACTTTATCTTTGTTATTGTTGTTATTATTATTTGAATTGAATCTATTATTTGGATGGTAGTTATTTCTATTATTATTATTATCTGTATTTTTACTGTGAACTGTATTTAAAATAGCTGAAAAAATAAAAAAGAAAACAAAAATACCAACAAATATCTTCAAGATATTTGGATGTTGTGCCATTTTTTCTTTTCTTTATATATTATTATAAATATTATATATATTGTTTATTCGTTTTTTTTTTTTTAATTTAATTATGAATTTTTTTTTATTTTTTAATTTATAAAAAAATAAAAAAAAATTAAAAAAAAAAAAATTAAAAATAATTTAAATAATTAAAATTAGTTTTTGAAATGAGTCACTTTGAGAAATTTATCCTATTATTATTTTATTTGATAAATTTTCAAATAAAAACAGAACTTAAAAATATACTTATTTGTTGAGTCATTTCAATTACTTAAAAAATTGAAATAATTAATTTTTGGTGATGTAAAAATTATTTTTAAATCATTTTTTCAAGATATAATGAGATGTTTTTTTTTTTTATGATAAGTGTCTTTGATAAATTCTTAAATTGTTTTTTTAAAAATATAATTTTTAACCACACATAAATTTATAAAATTAATATTAGATTGTTAGAAATAAAATATTTATTTATTAATTTTCTATTTTTATTTAATTGCCCTTTTTTAAAAAATAATCAAATATACATATTATTATTATTATTATTTGTAATTAAGAAAGTAGGCATAAAATAATAATAAAAAATCAAGGTGATACTATTTTTCCTATAGTTTTATAAAAAATTGTATTAAATGGATGGAAAAGTTTAATTAAAGTCGGAAATTATTTTTTTTAAATTTTATTTATTTATTTTTTTTTAATGTAAACAAAAAAAAAAAACAGAAAAAAAAATATGTAAAATTTTTAAAACCAATTATTAACCAGTAAACAAAATGAAGTTACAAACATTTTTATCAATTACATTTATCCTCTTAATCATTGCAGTATTTTCATCAGCCACTGAAAAGCAAGAAATCTGTGAAACATGTCGTGGTGTCTTTGATATTGCCAAAAAGTTCCATAAAAGAAGAAAGCCATTCACCCCATATCAAATTACCCAAGAAGTTAGTGCTATTTGTATGATTTACCCAACAGCAGATATCCAATCAAAATGTCGTGAAATGTCATCAATCATTCCAACATTTATTAATTATATTGATAGAGATGTAGAACCATACAGAGGATGTCTCGAAATGGGATACTGTCATTAAAATTAATTAAAATAAAAAATAATCTATAAAGATTCATTCAATATTAATAATTTTATTTTTATTAACATCATTTAATCAAAAAAAAACCAATGAATTTTTTTTTTTTTTTTAATATATGAATGAATAAAAAAGGAGATGTGTTTAATTTATTATAAAAAAAAATTTTGTATTTTTTTAAAAAATTAATTTTTATTTTTTTATTGGGTGGTGTCTTTAAAAATGATTACTTATTGTGATTATAGCAGATTTACATTTTTTTGTACAATACAAGGTTTACTTATTTTGGATTTGATCTTTTAAATAAATTAGAGTAATAGATTAATTAATTAATATTCAATTAAAAAAAAAAAATTTTAAAAAAATATTAAAAATTTTTAAAAAAAAATAATGGTGTGGATCAAATTTTTTTTTTTTTTTTTTAATTAAATTTTTTCTATTTTAATTAAATGTTTAACAATAGTGATAATTTTATTCAATTTATAAATTATAATATTAATAATAGTATTAATAATATAAATAATAAAAATAATGATAATATAGAAAATAATAATGATAATAAAATAGAAATTATTTTTTGGAAAGTTATAAGAAATCAATTTCTTTTTAAAAAAATTTTATCAAATAATTCAAAATGGATGCAATGGGATAAACAAATACCATGGGACTCAGTTATATCAGTAGAGGCAATGTTACACCATGGTTTATTTGGTTTATTAAAAAGAAAAGTTAGATTGGGTGATTATATAATATTAAAAGATTGGTCCATTTTATTTAAAAATATTAAAAACGATAAAGAGTTTTATTTAAATTTATTTAATAATTATCCACAATATTCAAATCAATTATTTCATCAAATTATAATTAAAAAATGTATAATTGAAAATTGTGTTTGTGCATTTCAAATAATAATAGATAATAATAATAATAATAATAATAATAGTTTAAAATTTAATTTAAATATTGATTCATTTTATTTGGCACTACAATATGGTCAATATAAAATTATTAAATTATTCATAAATTCAAAAAATCAAAATTTAAATATTAATTGGGAAAAGTTTTTTTTAACTTTAATTTTAGAAAAATCAATAAATTCTTTAAAAATATTAAATTTTTTTATAAATAATATAAATAATATAAATAAAAATAATATAGATAATAATAATTTTACAATGGTTTTAAATAATTTTAATAATGAAATTAAAAACTTAATAAATAATATATTAATAAATTTAACAATTAAAAATTTAATATTAAAAGATTTAATTATAATATATAAATTATTAATATATTTTAAAATAATAAATCAAAAACAACAACAACAACAACAACAACAACAAATTTCAATTATGGATATTGAAATTCAATTATTACAAAAATTAAATTTAAATTCAACTCTTTTAAACCCAATAAATTTTAAAAATCAACAATCAAAAGAAATAATAATAAAAATTGTAAAAATAATTAGATCAGTTTGTGAAAATATTTTAAATTTAAATAATTTTTTAGGTTATAAATTTAATTTTTCAACAATAGATTATTTTGAAGGTGATTATTTCGAACTATTTTATAATAATAATAATATTGATAATATAGATAATAATATTGATAATAGATTAGAAAAAATATTTAAAAATAATTTTCCTTTATATGCATCATTTAAATTTTCAAGTTTCAATTTATTTTTAAAACATTTTGAACAACAACAACAACAACAACAAAAATTAGAAAAATTAGAAATTGAAAATTATTTATTTAATTTATTCGAATTTTGTCAAGATAAAATAAAACAAATTAGTTTTTTAAAATTACTAATTCAATTTTTAAATGAAAATAAAATTGCAAGAAATTATATGGAACCACCAACTTTATTGGTTTTATTATTAAGATATGATGATTTAGAATTATTTAAAGAAATTGGTAATCAATTATATCACTTATTAATATTATATTATAAAGAAACTTTAGAATCAATGGAAAATTTTAGTATAGAACAAAAAAAGTTTCAACAATTTAGTTTTCATACATTAATTTAAAAGAAATATCG